CTTCCCTCCTCTCCCTCCCCTCTTTTCCTTTCTACCAGGGATTGAACCCACAGGAGCTTAACCACTGAGCCATATTACTAGCCCTTTATTGTTAATTTTAAAAAATTTGAGACAGGGTTTCACTAAGTTGCTTAGGGCCTCACCAAGTTTCGAGGCTACCTTTGAACTTGCAATCCTCTCGCCTCAGCCTCCTAAACTGTTGGGATTACACACTTGCGCTGGATGTGTGGTCTAAATGCCTCTAGGACATTCAACCACAGGTGTTCAGTTAGGTAGTTGTTGGATGTAAAGGGCTAGAGCAGAAAGATGACGATTATTTAGTAACCATCAGCATATTGATGGCAATATAAACCACTGGCATAGGTAAACCTGATGAAATGAGTGCAGGGAGAGAAGAAAAGGTGGCTAGGACAGGGTCTTGAGGACCCTGGATAGGCTGAGGAGGAGGGGAGGCAGCAATGGAGACTGAGAGAGCATGTCCTACTGCTTTGTCCTAAAAGACAAAGTTTTTAATGGAGCCAGGTTCTGCCTGTTCTAGCAGGGCCACTGCAGGACCTGCGGGTGGGCATGAGTCGGGAGAGAAGGGCTGGTGAGTGAGGAGGTGACAGCAGTGTTGGAGCTCATCTTTGGGAAATGAGTGTTTCTTGTAGGAGGGAATCAGTTTTTGTGGGGCTTTTTTTGTTTTTTTGTTTGTTTGGGGCAGAATCCTTAAGATGGTGAAACTGTTCTGTATGATGCTGTCGTGGTGGCTGCATGTCCTTATGGGTCTGTCCATGTTCACTGACATCCAGCACCAAGAGTGAACCCTAATGTAAGCACAAATGAGAAATATGCCAGTGCAGGTTCATCAGTAGTCACAAATGCACCACTGTGGTGGGGGAGGTACACCTGGGAGGGCAGGAGGTAGGTAGGAATCAGCCATGCTGTGAACCTAAGACTGCTTGAAAGGTTAGGTCTTCAAACATTGTTTTTAAAAAGGAAAGAGTTGAAGAAGAAAATAACACCTATATTGCTATCACTGTCAATAAATTTTGCATGAAGTATGAGTTAGAGGAGAACAGGGGGTATAGACAGTTTTTCTGCCTACAGTGCAGGAAAGGTTCAAGAGGGGAGACTCTGGAATCCAGATTGGATGCTGACAGGAGTGCACAGGGAAAGAGGGAGAAGCTGAGGAGCTGGGGGGTTGAGGGCAGAACTCAAAGGGCTCTGTGGGGAGGAGGGTCAGGCATGTCTGCTGAGCGCCCAGGTCCTTCAGAGCCGCCATTGCTGAAGAACGTGAAAACAGGGCAGTTTGAAGATAGCAGCAGGGTTCAAGGGGTAGAGGGTGAGTGCATTAGAAACTAGATGAAACTGAATGAGCTGGGTGAGGAGGCTCTGCTCACAGCTAGACTGTTCCAGGGCACCACCCATGCTGTTCTCTCTTCCTTCAGGTCTTCTCAAGCTCCCCATCTCCCTCCCGCACTCCTTCCTGTTCTCACACTTCTCTGCCACCTTCTAATGAGCTCTCTACCCCAACCCATCTCTCTGCTTGTCATTTTTTATGGCACTTGGCCCTTCCTGGAGTTACTTTATTTATCTGTCCACTTGTTCAATTGTCATGTCTCCCACTAGGTTATAAGCCCTGTGAGGACAGGGTCTATGCCCTCCCCATGACTGGAACAGAGATGGGCCGAACAGTAGTGCATCGGAACATGTTGAGCAAAGGAACTGGAGACCACGAATCTAGGAACTGTGCCACCAGAGTGTGGAAGGGCAGTCTATATGCATGTCGACATTTGGGAGGGACAGAATGAAGAGAAACAGGTGGTGCCAGAGCCCTCACCGGAAGTGGGGGAATGACTGGGAGGTCTAGGGCTGTAAAAGGGGGCCAGGCGGTTCCCAGAGTGGGGCTTACAGTGGAATCTGTTTGGGGCCCGGGCAACCCAACCTCCACCAGTTAGTGCAGAACTAACAAAGGGTTTTTGCATGTTGCCGAAATGTTATATATCTGCACTATTCAGATTAGTAGCCACTAGCACATATATATGGCTCGTGTAACTGAGAAACTGAATATTAATTTAATTTTAACTAAAATTTAAACAGTCACATGTGACTAGTGGCTACTTTATTGATCAGCACAGCTTTGATTCCCCTTTGAATCACACCATCTGAGGCAGAGCTGGTAGAGAATGAATTAAGAATTTCACAGGGAGAGGTCTCCAAGATCCCAAGAGGGGAAACATGCTGCCTTCCTCTTACAGTTTAAATTGGAAACACGCACATTCGTTTCAAAAGCGAATAAAGTGTAATGACATGGAGAGTGAAACTGGGGTATGGACAAATGAACACTTGAAACCTCTTGGTTTATTTCTGAAAATCTTCTATATGCTGCATGTAGCAGAATCACAGTCCCTGAGAGGCAATCAAGTTCTTTCCGCATGGGAATTAGTTTTCTCACCTTTTTACACCTAAATCATCAGCATGAGCAGGAGCTCTGGGCAGTTCCCTGGACTCTTTCACAGGTATTGGATTCAAGTGTGTCCTAGGGGTTCTTAAACATGGCTGTACCTTGGAATCACCAGGGGTTTTGAAACCTCTCAGTGCTGTGACCAAACCCATTAAATCCAAATCTCTAGGCTTGGGATTGGGTAGGCTTCAGTAGTTTGACAACCTCCCCAGGTGATCATTGTTAGTAGCAAGGTTTGAAAATCACTGGTCTAACCAACAAGACACAAAGCCAGATAGAGCTTATTGTCACAAGGGACTGCACGATTTAAAAATGCTTAGTTTAGAGCAGTGCTCTTCAGCCTTGGCTCTCTGGGGATTAGCTGGGGAACTTTAAAAAATGCTGATGCTCAGGTCCCACTCAGAGATATGGATTTGATTGGTCTGGGTTGTGGCCAGAGCACCAGGATTTTTGAAAGCTCCAAGAATGACCCAAATATGTGGTTAGGCCTGAGAACCATCTGGATAATTTTGACCAAATAGGCTAAAATGAAACTGGTTAAAATTCCTTCTAGAAGCCATTGTCCTGTCATGCTGATCCCATTTATTGAATACCCACTGTGTACCAGGCATTGTGCTTGGTATGATAGACACAGAGCTGAACTCAGACCCAACCCTTTTAGAAGGTTAAGTGAGACACATGTAAAATAACTCAGGTGTTAGGCACAAGCCAGTGAGCCTGTAGGAAGAGCAGACGAGATGCTGTGGATTGGGTTGGCTGTGTGTTTCCCCTCTTCCCTTCTTTTCCTCTTTCCCCTCCCGCCCTCCTCTTCTTTTCTTCATTCTTGATTTTTTTTTCTATCATTTTCTTTCTCTTTTTCTTGTTTGGTGATAACCTTGTCAGTAGACAATTGCTGTAGAGTGTTCTGGATTTGACTGCTTTGGGATTGTGTGTGGTTGAGGTGAAGAACCAGGGTCTAGAAAGAACCAGGGCCTGCAGTGCTGGGTGGCAGCTCTGGCCGTCACCATCTTGCTGGGTGTTCAGAGCAACTCCATCCACCCATGGCCCTGACCTGCTGACTTCCCCTGTCTGTCCTGGGACGGAGGCCCCCCAGGGCCTCTGCAAACCTGCCACTGGGACTGATGGAAGAAGCATCAGGTCTGGCTGGATAAAAACATTATTTATTTTATATTTGTTTTAGCTGTGGATGGACCTTTATTTTAATCATTGATTTATGCGCAGTGCTGAGATTCGAGCCCAGGGCCTCCCACATGCTAGGCAAGCGCTCTGCCACTGAGCCACGACCCCAGCCCCAAAAACCATTATTTTAAGACTTTGACCACATTTTCCTCAGAAGCATATTAATCACAAAACCAATACTATAATAACATATGAGAAATTTTAAAAAATAATAAAATAAAAAGCATCCCCCAAAACACTCAAACCCACTATTTTCTTTTTTTTTTTTTAAATGAGAGAGAATTTTTTAATATTTATTTTTTAGTTCTCAGCGGGCACAACATCTTTGTTTGTATGTGGTGCTGAGAATCGAACCCTGGCCGCACGCATGCCAGGCGATCGCGCTACCGCTTGAGCCACATCCCCAGCCCCAATCCCACTATTTTCATTCAATCAAAACTTTCGGCAAGACATTTAGGAGCCTTGTGCCAGGTAGAATGCTGCTCTGCCCAGGAGGTCGTCCACCTTAGGAAGGCCTGATCCTCATGGTAGTCTTCCTGTGAGGGTTCTAGGTGGTGGTGGTGGGGTTCTTCAGCCCTCCCTCTCCCTGGCTGAGAAGGACAAGGCAGGATGGAGAAAAGTTGCCTACATACAGATAGATCCTGTTTTCTGGCTTTTCTTTGCAGTAACTCTTACAAAAAGAACCTCGACATGACCAAAATCGGAACAGGAAAACCTCAGCAGCTTCTCAGAGTGGATGACCACGACTTCAGCATGAGGCCAGCCTTTGGAGGTAGAACCATCATGTCCTCCCCTCACTGCTGGGTAGGGCCTTGTCCCCAGGGCCACTGCACATGCTGCCCCTTCTGGTTCTCTCAGCCACAGTCCCTCCTGGGGGCAGGTGATTTTCCCCCTCACAGTCAGAGAAGCCCAACCTAGCTTGTTGGAATCACTCTTCCTTGAGTAGAGAGAGCGGGCAGGAAGTGGTGGAGCTGTTGAGTGAAGGAGAAGTGGGTGACTCAGCTGTTTACCTTCACAAAGGAGACAAGCTGCTGCTGCCAGCTTTCTTTTGCTTAAAAAAAAAAAAAAAAAAAAAAAAAACCAGCAGGCAGGGAGGATCTGGATACAAAACAGTTTCTCTGCTTGGCCGCTCTGGCTAGCTGGAGGTTTCTGAGCCATCTAACACATTATAAAGACCCCTCAACACACCTGCCCCCAAAGGAGTGATGCTGCTTTTGAGGTCAGGGAGGGGAGGCAACACTGGTGACTCCTCAGGAACTAAAGAAATGCCACAGGGGACCCTGCATCCTGGTTTGGGCTGCCATAACAAATTAGCACAGGCTGGGTACCTTTGAAACAATAGAAAAATTCCTTCTCCCAGTTCCGGAGGCTGGAAGTTCAAGATCAAAGCACTGACCTTCTGGGTCTGATGAGGGAGGGCCCACTTTCTGGTTCACAGACAGCGCTTTCTCACTTCACATTAGGAAAAAGGTGGGGGGACTTTTCTGAGGTCTCTTTTATAAGGTCACAAATCCCATATGTGAAAGGGCCCCACCCCCAAGGCCTGGTCACCTCCCGGAGGTCTCACCTCCCCATGCCACCACCTTTGGGGTTAGGATTTCAATGTATGCATTTTGTGGGGACAGACACAGTCAGACATAGCAGTTGCCTGCTGTCTGGCCAGGTAGGGAAGAGGGTGAGCAAAGCGGCTTGCATGGGATCGTTGGGTCAACTCCCTACTTGTACATGAGGGGAAACTGAAGCCCAGAGCGTTTCAGCAGATTAGCTACGGCAGATACAGACCCAGGCAGGCTGCTTTCCTTTTGCCTTTCTCTCTGCCCTTGATCCTTTCTCAGGACTCATGGTTCTCTGGGGGCAGTAGGAAGGAGTAAGATGACCTTTAGGCAGGTCACCAACCCTTTCTGAGCCTCTGTTTGCTTGTTTATAAAATGGGGACAGTAATTCCTAAGAAAGGGGCTGTTGTCCGGATTAAGCAAGATAATGTATGTAAAGACCCTGACACATATTCGTTCTTGTCCCCTCAGAAAACCCAGCTGTCAGACCTTCCTCTTGTGTGACTGTTAAGGGATTAAGAAATTAATTTATCCTAGAGGCCTTTACATTTTAAAAGGCACTAAATTCCCTGAGTTCTGGCACCTGCTAAACAGATGGAGAAGAGTAGGCGGCAGATTACAGTCCTGTGATTCCTCGTTCCCACTGGTAACCTCATTTACCCTCTCAGGTCAAGAGGACACCACCAGATTTCTGGTAGTCCAGATTTCCTCGGGGCTCACCATGGGCAATTCTGCCAAGGAATTTTATAATAAATTCCTTTTACTGAATGACCAGCTTTAAAATGGTTGTTTCTGCTCCAAGGAATCTGAGATATCCCTATAAACTGGAAGCCCCACCTTGCTTTTCTAGAACAGTGCTGGTTAGCAAGGTGGCTAGGAGCAACAACAGCAAGAATGTAAATGACAGCTAACTCTGTTATAGAGAGCATCCGTGCCAGGCGTCACTTCAACCAGGTACTTATATAATGTAACTCTCCACCCCAAGCACTGGAATCAAACCCAGGTTCTCATACATTCAAGAGTTGTGTCCCCAGCCCATATATGATCTTCCCCTCCCCATATATAGTTTTAATGTAATCCTCTCATAAATTCTTTGAGGTAGACAATATTATAATTCCCAGGTAAGGAAACTGAGGCACAGAAAGGTGAAGTGAGTGGCCCAGGTCACACTACTGGGAAGGTTGAACCCTCCCACTTAGCCAGGTCTCTTGTCTCTACTCGAATGTCCCTTGATGCAGAACTGGAATAGACAATAGACAGGGGAGGCTCTAGCCACAACACTTTTAAGGTTATCTCCAAAAGTTTTATTTTATTTTATTTTTTGGTGGTGCTGGGGGTTGAACACAGGGATTTGTGCATGTGAGGCAAGCACTCTACCAACTGAGCTTTATCCCTAGCCCTATTTTATTTTCTTTTTATAGTTTAATGTATTTTAATAGCAAACTTACAGAAACAGCACAGAAGACAACATTAAAAACATGTACTCACATGTAGGACAACTCAGAAAAGTCTCGTGAATGGGTGGCATCTACTGTGATAAAAATGCTACAAACACCATTTAGTTCCTGTTAATAAAAAGTTTACTTGTTTTAAAAAATCCAAATGCTGGCATTGTCCAGAAAATTTTAACAGTTTTATTTATAATTGTTATAAAGTTGAACTACTGAAACTTGTTCACTGAAAAATTTTGACTTTCATTAATGTTCTATATCCCTGCATTTATATTAAAAATTCTCACACAGGGCTGAGGATGTAGCTAAGTAGTTAGAGTGCTTGCCTCACATGCACAAGGCCATGGGTTCAATCCCCAGCACCACAAAATTAAAAAAATAAATAAATAATAAAATAATAAAATAAGATAAAAAGAAAGAGAAAAAGAAGAAAAGAAAAAAATTTACACACAATGAAAATGAAAAACTGACCAATACCTGATTTCTGTCCCCTGTTTTTCCATTCACAATCATATACTTAGGTATCTTTTGAGCCTTTGGAAAAAAAACATCTAACTTCCGAACTACCAATAACGGGAAGAAGAGAAAAAAAAAATTTTGAGAATGAAATATTCTCATCATAGTGAATTTTTAAAAATATTTATTTTTTAGTTACAGGTGGACACAATATTTTTATTTTATTTTATGTGGTGCTGAGGATCAAACCCAGTGCCTCACTCATGCCAGGCCAGCACTCCACCTCTGAGCCACAATCCCAGCTCCCATTATAGTGAATTTTTTAAAAATATTTTTTTAGTTGTAGATGGACACAATATCTTTATTTTATTTATTTATTTTTTAATGTGATGCTGAGGATTGAACCCAGTGCCTCACCCACCCAAGGCAAGCGCTCAACCACCGAGCTACAACCCCAGCCCCCATCATAGTGAATTCTTAAGCATGTTCTCCACATATGCAGTGTGCTAGTTGGATGTCTTTTGGCATAATTGTTACACTTTGGCATGGATACCACACAAGTGGTGTCTTCAAAAACGCCAACCAGATAGGCCTTGCCTGCCTTCTGCAAAGCACAAATAGCTGCACTCTGGAAGCACAGATTTGTTCTGAAGTCCTGAGCAATTTTTCACACAAGACTCTGAAAGGGGAGTTGCGAATCAGAAGTTCAATGGATTTCTGATAACGTCTAATTTCACGAAATGCCACAATACCAGGCCTGTAACGATGAGGTGTCTTCACCCCTCCAGTAGAAAGTGCACTCTTGGGAGCGGCTTAGCCATGGTAGAAAGACCTCCTTATTTACCTGGCTTCTTCTTTAGTAGGAGCCCGGGAGCTAGAGGTGGCACTGGTGTTAGAAAATCACCAAAAGTTTTCTTTTAAAATCAGAAGGAAACCGAAATTTTAGGCAGAAGAAATCATTTTACTATATACTATTAACATATTCATCTTTATATCCATGCAATTGTTAAAAATATATGTATTTTTCATATTTTATATACTTTGCATACAGGAAGAGGTCCCTGAAGGCAAAAGTGCCCAGGGTCCTCAAAACTCCTAAGTGGACCTGCCTCATGGAGGTTCTGTGGGGCAAGTGTGCCTGGGTGTGAGTGGTATAGAAGCCCTGTGACTAAAGCATACTGGGGTACGGGGGGGCTAATAGTTGGTGGCAAAACTTTGGGTTTTTCTGTAACCTCTGCTGAAAAACTGAAAGTCTCATAAAAACAGTCTCTCCTTTGGGAGAAAGCAGGAGCCAGCTCTCAGGAATGGCAGGTGAAGGACTGCCTGCCTCATTCCCAGAAAACCTGGCCCTGAGCAGAGCCATGTAACCAGCTGCAGCCCCAGTCGGGGGCTCTTTCCCCAAGCCCCGTTTGAAGAGCACATTGGACTTTCTGTGCCCTGATCACTGCATCTGCTGGGCCCATTGGTGGGGGTCCCCAGAATGGGGAGGGTCAGGACAGTCCTCTGCCCCTACCTAGGTAAGCTTCTGACCCTCAGGAAGGGTTCTGACCTGGGAGAGGGAGGCCCTTGCAGGGGAAGGAGGCTTCACCTCCCACGGAGTGCTTTAAGACTTTAAGACACATCAACTGTCAAGATTGCAGTTACCAAAGCAGAGTGGGGACATCCCTCCTTTCCTAGATGTCCAGCTGTCACTTGGATGAAACAGGGAGGGGAGCACACATATGGGGGCTCCATGCCACTTTTAGCCCATAAGTAAAATTTGCTGTGCTGGGAATCCTGGCTAAGCAGGTAAGATGGGAAAATCCCATAAGGTGGCCTCCTACCTGTGGCTTCAATTGGTCTTTATAACCTATAATTCCTGGGGGCATCTAGAGATGGCTTAGAGCCAAGGAATCTTCCTCCCAGGAGTCCCCATTCCACCCATGCCTCTATCTGGGTCTCTATCAGCATTGTTCAGGGTAAGGGAGCGGTGAGGAAGAAGGCTGGGCAGATAGCATATAGGTGACGCTGTGCAACTCTACGAGGTTCTGATGGGTGTGGTGGTGTATGCTTGTAATCCCAGGAGTTTGGAAGGTTTAGGCAGGAGGATTGCAAGTTTGAGGCCAGCCAGCTTCAGCAATTTAGTGAAACTGTAAGCAATTTAGTGAGACTCTGTCTTAAAACAAACAAACAAACGGGCTGGGGACTTAGCTCAGTGATAAAGTATCTCTGGATTCAATTCTCAATATCCCCCTCCAAAAAAAAAAAAAAAAGTTTCCCTGTGACAGGCTCCTGTTTAGCAACAGAGCCCAATACCCCCTCCTCTAGCATCA